ATTTTAAGTGCTGAATTATCACGTGCTCATCAGTACAGGAAAACATCGTCAGGAAAACTGCATAGTTTCGAAATAAAAACATAAAAAATATGTTGAAGATAGGATATGTAGATGGACTATGCCCTGATACTCTCTGTACAGAGGATACTTTACTTACTTTACTTTTATAACTGTTTTTGACGTAATCATGAGTTCGAAATTTAACATCCCCATGTTGTTAATCTTACATACGTACATACAATAATCATGTCAATTCTCTTTAGTGGAAATATTAACCAATCCTGGAGAAGGGCACTCATTCAGAACAACCAAGTTACACGCCCTTAATGCGAGCCAGGTATGATCTCCATTAGCACATGAATAGCTATTTATTAACGAACAACTATTTACGTAGTCATTGTCCCAATAAATTTAAAGGACAACAATTACTCTGTTCGTCCCTTCGCTTTTATTATGCCTTATCGGGGATAAGATTTAGTTATACTAATATTAGAATAATAGGAATAAATCAAACGACATTAATGAACCCCGTTTTGCCGCTAAAGATTATAAAAACTTGAACAATTACACACGCTTTATATAATATATAATATATTCGGCATCAGGGGTTGTGGGTCCTATCCCCATAAGGGACAACTATTTGTGAAACCCACAGATAGTTTTTTCGAATTTGGGTGTTTCTCCACGGGAAATTTATGTTTGTATAACGTCCTTACAACACAGGTTATACTTATCCTAAAGTGAGGGCTATGTTTAAAAAAATGTAGTTGTCGAAAATGAAATAAGACTGGAATTTTCTATAAGGAAACAATTTCGGGCAAGTGTTTGAAACACAGTCTCGCGATCTAAGGACGCGGATTTGAATCTAGAGTAACATCAATCATTTTATCGTATTTTTAAATAATTGATAAAAGTAAAAAGTAAAGTAAAGTAACAGCCTATATATATCCTACAGCTGGGCAAAGGCCTCTGTACTTCTATGAGGTATTAGGGCATAGTCCACCACGCGGCCCCAACTAACTTAACGTAAATTTTAACTTAACTTAAAAATTAAAAAAAAACCCTAACGATGTGCAGCAACTTGCAACAGCAACGGTAATGACTTGCCTGTGACCTATCACGCTTTGAGATTTTATAAGATCTGTGTAACGAACATAGCCTGGTATCCATGGGTTAAATTAAACTATTTCTTTGACATGTCTTACACGCGTATTAAATGAAACTAGTTTACGGCGTTTTTTATTTTATCTGTCCCGTGACCATGAACGGTGGAAAGGGTTCGGAAATTATAAAAGCGATAAAATGCGTAAACTTGTTTCATTTAATATGTATAATAATCGCGTAAAATCAACAATTCAATATGTTACACGCGTTTTATTCATTTTGTCTGTGTGCGCTTTTCTCCCAATCTCAAATACAAGTCACAACAAGTTGCTCTATTTAAGACGACCCGAATGGCGTTGTGGGTAGTGTACCTGCTTCCTGCGCCAGAGGGTGAGGGTTCGATCCCCACTACTGGGGATCGAACCCACACCTACACTATTGTGTGATGAACATTTTTCTAGTGTCTGGGTGTTAATATATATATATAAGATGTATTTATTTACAAAAGAAAAATATGTTTAAGTATGTTTATCAGTTTTCTAGTGCCCATAGTACAAGATTTGCTTAGTTTGGGACTAGAGAATGTTGTGTAAAAATGTGTCCTAAAATATTTATTTATTTATTTATTTATTATTGCTTGAATTAAAGGACGAGGGAGCTGGTCTAAAAGTTTCGGGTTTCACTAAATAGGGATTCAGACATTTTCACTGACTGAAGACAGCAAGAGAACTCGCCTAGGATCCACTAGTACAATCTAAATGTTAATTCAGTATAGCGAAACGATCAAAGGGGTAGATCAGCTGGCAACGGGCCAATCCGAACTTGAATAGGCCACGACTGAGGGCGGATTGTCGAGGACGCACGAATGAGTCACATGAGTCAGCCGCCGCTACTGTGGCCAGATGCGGTATCGCTAAGCAGGGATAAACATTAAACTACTATCTATTAGCACTTCATTCGTTTGCCCGTACCTCACCTAGGTGGGTCACAACATGTGAATCGTGGTATTAATGGTTTTGACTATGTCTTTTATAATCCGGCCGCCAGCATGACGTCAATCTTGGGAACAAACACCCGGATTCCGAACAATGGTCTGTTGGTCACACAAATAATTGACCCGTTCGAGAATCTAACCACGACACCCGGCGTCAATGCCTAATGACTTATATCAAAAGATAGATACTACCCCACCTAAATAATTCAATTTTGTAACATTTTATGCTCGCACATATGTTTAAATGTATGTCTATTTCTTTTCGGCCTGCTTTAGCAAAAATGATTCCTGTTAGTTTTTTTTTTATGTAAAAATTTGTTAAGCGAGTAGACAGTTCACCTCATGTTAAGTGAATATCGTAGGTTTTGCAGGATTGCAGGGTTTGCAGATGCGTAGACATTTTTTTAAAAATTAGACTCAAACTAGCTCACACACCAGACGAAACGCGAAAGTATATTATACTTCCAATTGACGCCGGACGAGCCTGCCCATTCGCGCATCAGCCGAGAACTGCTGCGTGGCCCTACCACAGTTAAAATACTAAGTTAGTTATAAAAATTACACCGGTAGTTTTATTATTAAAAATTTTATTACTTTAATGTTACTAAAAAAAGTCTCCTGTCCAGATGCCCTTTTCTAGATACGAGAATTTGGATTTATGGATTAGATGGTGGCCTTGGGTACGTCGCTAACCAACCGTATATTAAATTTCATGGTAGCTACTGCTCAACAACATCGCGTTGTGGATAGACAGGGAGCAGCCGCTAATTTTAATTGTTCTATTTCAATTGATTTTTAACTTTTTGACATTCCATTGTTTTATTCACTATTCCATCATCGAAAAGAAATACATCAAATCAACTCAAGGAACATGATTACACTAACAACAACGTAACAGTTTCCATAAGGGGTCACCCTACGCAAAATTAACGGCTTAATGTTTAAAAAGACAACCATCATCAAAAGGTTTGATATACCTACCGAAAACAAGACTGTAAAAGCTAATACGTAAATAAGGACAGAATCAGCCAAACTCGGAATTGTGTTAACCCTACAAAGGACCATATTTATTTGGTGCACTGACCCACAACAGTCGACGGACGACGGTTATCGCTTTATTTTGGCGAGATAACTGTGAGGGAATGCACGATAAAAGATATCAATACGATGATATTTAAATAAAGATGACGCATGTCCATACTGCACGGCGTTTAAAAATTGTTCCGCTTTACAATAAATGACATATATAAATAAATTTGACAGATGATATAGTACATATGATAAGGAAAGAGATTACTATTCTATATTACAACAATTGGTGTAGTTTGAGTGCCCTGAGTTTCGGTACATTAGTGTCATATTTACCTCGTATATTATATAACATCATTGAACACAACATCTTTTTAGGGTTCCTAAACGAAAGGTAAAAAGGGACCCTATTACTAAGACTGCTGTCTGTCTGTCCTGTCACCAGGCTGTATTTCATGAACCGTGATAGTAAGACAGTTGAAATTTTCACAAATGACGTATTTCTGTTGCCGCTATAACAACAAATACTAAAAAAACTTACAACATGAACTGCTTCTTTTTGAAATGAATTTTAGTAATATTAGCAAATTACATAAAAATTCTTGTGTTATCCTGAGTAAAAATCAATCTCTCCTTCTTTTTAAATTATTTATCTAAAATGTGCATGTTTATCTGAAATAAACTATCTGTCTACAGGGCTTATGGTTAGTCTTTTAACCTAAGCTAACAAGTATATTTGAAACACTTTATTATTAATTACTTTACACTTAATTCAGGTATAAAACTTTAAGGTGTTTACAACCTTGAAAGTGTCTATTGTTCAATATAAGAAATAAACTATTTTTTCAGTTTAATCCATTAATAAACGGATCAGGCCATAAATAAGTTGTCAAAATAATAATAATACTTCTAATATAATATTTGTTTTAATTTGTAGTTAAAATATAATTTAAGTACTGTAATTAATATTGTTCTGGTAATGTTAGTAAAACACACACATACTAATTTTATGCTTACAAAAGATATCAAATCCAAAACCAAAAATTTACCAATGGTTTCAATTATGTCAAAATTATTCTGTCTATAAGGTTGTTTATTAAGATGTAAATTATAACAAAAGTAGCAATAAGTTTAGAAATTTTAGATTACTACTGACATATTTCATATACACAAAGATAGCGGCATTGTACTTTCAAACATCAATATTTAATCATTAGTATTAACCCTTTATAATTCCAACTTTATATTTTTTAAAGTATTTATTAATTTACAATGAATATTAAAATTCACATACTTATTGTTATAAAAGAGTCATAAAATAATATGAGTTCTTTTTTTCTCTAACAATCTAAAAGATTTAGCATACACAAACCAAAAAAAGTGATGGGACAATACTAATAACCATGTAATTTTTTTGGATAGTTTTAAAGTATACTTTACAAGGTAAAAACTAAGATACAACTTTGGTGCTTCAATATTGTATAATAAGTATAAAAGCTAGTGTGAGTTCACTTGCCTATAAACTTCATAGTATAGTTGTCTGAAATGCATATTTAAATTTATCCCAAATTTTAAATAAATTAATGTAAAAGACATAACATGTACAGTTAATGGAAAAATTTCAGAAGTAATGATGAAGTATCTATGGATGTAAAGCACTTCTTTTAAATAGACATCTTAAACATGTTAATCTATATTATCGTGAATGTAGAAAAAATAGAATGGTTATAGTTGTCTACCCTAACTATATAATAATAACTGTTAATGAGCCTCGCATGTTAATTGTAGTCGTATTTGGAAACTTTCACCCTGCTATAGTGCTACACGAAAGATGAATGAAAATATAGATAAAATAATTAACTGATAGACTTACATCGTATGGTACATTTTTTTCGGCAATTGAAGTCCTATCGCGATCTGAAACAAGAGAAAATTAACTTAAAAGGTATAAAGAAAATGGGTCGCGTTACACTGGCCTACAACTGTAGCTAAGTGGGTGTAGATTAGTAGCATTGTGAACTGCGTTAAAGATAAAGGAAATAATTACCATCATCTTCCAGGCCTGTCGGTCCAATCTCCGTCTTTTTAGACACTGAACTATCCATTACTTCTATGTGATCGCTGTCCCCCGAAGCCATTTTTGTTTCCCTGATACACCCCCTATTTTGGCTTCAATTTTATCAAGATTTGCACAAAATTAATTAACATGGCTCACAACACATTTACTTTAGGAACACAATGATTCACTGTAATTTAATTAAAAGAAATCAATCAGTTTACACGAAAACGCTCGCCCGAAGCATCCGTCTGACAAGACCATTCAAAGTAACTATTTTAATGTTACTAGACTACGTGTGAAGATGTATTTTTTCTTCATTTTTTTATTATTTTGATAACATAACATAAAATATAATCTTACAATTTAAATTGTGTTTAACTTATATTTATAGAAATGTAAAAAAAATATTATTATTAATATACTGCAAGAAATGCCAAAACAAAAAATGCCAAAAAAAGTAAAAGACATATTTTGAACGTTTTCTAGGATTTTGTGGGAAAAACGTTTATAACATGATAAATTTTAAAGTCTGCTATAATCATATGTAAAAAAGCATGTTTTTACGGTGGTAGGGCCACGCAGCAGCCTCGGCTGTTGCACGAATGGGCAGGCTCATTTACGCTACAAGCCCGAAACTTTATGTTATGTTTTAGAATGACCATAAACTTAATATTAACACTTTATAGAATTCCTTCGATAATAAGTTGGAGTTTTGGGCATAAATGCCACGCCATGCGAGCGAGCAACAATAACACTGCTGCCCGTTTTTGTCCTGTCGGTTACTTCTAGACGGTTAAAAAAATCCGATCATTTATTAGAATGAAACAATTATAACATATAATATATAAACATATTTACAACTATCTATAAAATCATTAATCATAAAAGCAGTTTATTATTATGGATGAAAAACTCGGATCTTTCATCCATAACAGTATTATTTCGGATTAATAATTTTGAATTAGGATAATCCATTGTATATAATAATGTTACGTAAGTGAGTCTCTTCGTCTTTTTTATTTTTGTTATTGAGTTAACTAATAACCTGTTGGCTTTAAACAGACCTCAGGGTTTTCATGTCCCACGGGCTCAGGGCAATAACATTGTTGGTACACAATGACGGCACTACGACGCTATTCACTCCACAGTATATCTGTGACCGCTGTTATCAAAATATGGACAATTTGGCAAATTAATGGGGAGATGGGCATGACACGACCCAAGAGCCCATGAGATAGATGGAGGTTTAAACCTGGAGTTAAACCACCATTGATTGTGACATAAGGTAGGTGGTGAAATAAGAGCGAAATTGCAATTTAATCATGAGACGGATCTGCAAAAAACAATTAGTTTAGGAAAATTATAAGATTTACGAAAACAATCAATTCACGAAATCTTCACTGCAATGCTTACGAGACATACGTTTATCTATTTCTAAACGTTCGTTTTATTATATTGCATGAGAAATAAATCACGGAACAGACAAACAGATGAAGTTTTTTGTCTGTTCTGTGAAATAAATAACGTGAACATATTTAAAAACTGTTCAAGGTGAATTAAACTGAACTGCTTTTGAACGGAGCTTTAACGTACGGGCTTAGAATAAATGTAACATGGGTTTTTTCATTTTATGTTGTGATTATATTTAAAATAGGTTATTAACCAATATGCTACTTTTAATATATTTTGCAACATTTTTTTTTTCTATACTTTATCTTTTGTCTAAAGCAAAAATTACTGCCATCCCGATGAAGTGGTAACACTAGGCACGCCATGTTTATTTCTTTTCTTTCCGTCATTTCGTTGCCGCGGTAAGAAATCTTTAGGTTATTTTTTTATCACGGCGTCTATGTAATAATTTAAAGAATTGTCCTATCAGAACCTACATTTGTTTACCTAATTATGTGTATAACAGATAAAATATTCTGAAAACTGTATTGTAGTATAACCGGGCGTAGCGGTAGTCGTTGGCGATCAGGAATACAGTCTAGCGGCGTTACTTGAAAATGGGTAAAAAAGTAAGAGAATATAAATCCGGCGACTTCATATTCGCGAAAGTTAAGGGATATCCAGCATGGCCAGCTCGAGTAAGTACTTGTTTATTATCTTAGTATTATCTTTTTCTAGTCTTCAGGTTTTTACGGTATCTTTGATTAATGGCTTTGCGCGGGAAGACATGATGTATGACCTGACAATCTCTAGCATTGGTTGATTTTGCGTATCTTACCGTTTTGGTTTTCCTTAATTTGTAGTATTGTATCACAATATATTACACACAGCTTTTGTAAAAGCATCTTTTTCAAATATTATGTAAATTTTAACCGCGATATAATTAAAGTAAAAAAAAATTCAATTACAGAATATATTTCACTACCACATTGATCACATTGTAATATGAATTCTCATTTTGAATTATCTAACTGATGAAGATGAGAATGTTTTGAAGAAAATAGGATATTCATAAGTGTTTAGTTCTTGTTTTCCAATATTTATGCTTATTTAGTAGGAATAACTTGTTTCTTTTATAAAATTGAATATTAAGGCACACTCCATCTCCTTTTCACAGGTACAAAGGCTGAATGGAAAAAAATATTTTGTATACTTCTATGGTACTGGAGAAACGTAAGTTTTTATGCTTGTTTCTATTACATACAAAATATATTTTTGTATTGCTATTCTGTGAAAGCTTCGTGTTCAAAAGTTTATCATTCTATTATTATAATAAATTTGCCCTGAAGAAGACCAGCTTAAAATGGAAGTGTTAACCATTTGCTTGTCATCTGGTGAGTGAGGTAGCCAGGGCCCACTTTATTAAAAGATGGTTGTGCATCTACAAGTGTATGCTCATTGCAAATGTAAAAAACCAGTAGTTAGTCACTTAACATCAGGTGAACCCCAGCTCATTTGCCACCTTCTCAAATGAAAGAATAAATAAATTTAATATAGAAATAAAATATGGCATATTTTATCATACATTTATTTTTCAGTTAATTTTTATAATATGATAATTATGTACTGTTGGTAATTTTAGTGCAAATCTTCCACCCAATATGATTTTTGACTATGCAGAGAACAAAGACAAGTTTTTAACAAAAACTGTGAAACGAAAAGTTTTTAATGATGGTGTGAAGCAGATTGAATATGATTTTAAAAATAATGTGCCATTAGAGCAAGTCATTGGGCTAGCTGGTTTAGTAAGTACTAATTCTTTCTTCATACCTATTAGATTATCTGGGTTGCACCCATAAACATATTAGATTATAAAGGATCCCTCAGGATTATTTAAAATTAGCTGTGCCTGCGACTTCGTCCGTGTAGAATTTAAAATAAATAAAATTCAAAAATAAAAGTAGCTTAAGTTACTCTTTATTATATCAGCTATTTGTCAGTGAAAGTCCCGTTCAAATCGGTCCAGCCGTTTCAGAGATTAGTCAGAACAAACACACAGACAAAAAATGTAAAAAAAATTGTTTTGTGTATACATCCATATGCATTCAGTAAAAAGCGGTTATTTCAATATTACAAACAGACACTCCAATTTTATTTACCTGTATAGATAGGTGTATCATAACAAAATTCTATTGAATGTCTTGAAAGTAGCGTTAATTCTGAGCCTATAATATCTATATTTACAACTTTTTTGAAAATATGTAAGTATGGTTTCACAAATATTATAAGATCTTAATAAATGTGTTAATTTTTGTTACTATTATACCCATTTCATTTAAAACTTTGTTCATATTTCTGCCCATAGTTACCAGAAGATGCCACCGCCAATGATACAATTAATGAGTCAATGGCAAATGACTCGCTTGAAGACACTACAATTGGTGATGCTGACACTACAGCTGGCAATGATACTGCTGATGAAGTGAGTGTGAAAATTTTTTCTTCCAAACTAACTTCAAATTATTTTTATAACTGCTTTCAAAACGAAAATGTATGTGTGTTTAAAATAGATTATTTTTTACATAGTTTTTGTATATTATAGCTAAATGATTATGGAAGCTTTCTTGCAAACTTGCAAGTATAATTTTTTTTAATTTTATCTAAAATAGCCTATTTTAAATAATGTAGTAACAAACTTCTTTATGCATACAATTTTCTTCAGTTTTATTGGATTTGTGTATAATGAAGTAGGACAATAGTTTGTAAATGCTTCCAACCAAATCCATAAAGCATTGAAGTTTATGTCAAAATGTTAATCTAAAGTCAGAGTTAACATTTGCCGAGGAAACTTACACATAATAAATAGTTTTAATTGTGACATTTAATATTTGGTATGTGTGAAATGTGCTTTGATTATTTTTCATTAAATATATTATTTATATCATAGTTTGCTTAGAACTTATAAGCTCACAACAAACAATAACTTATAATTTTTTCACAGACTACACAAAATGATGCTGGTGTGGATGATTCTGATGAGACTGCCGGACTTATCATTGATGAGGGCAAGGTGATTTCTATATTTTCCATCATATATTAAAGGGAGTAATAAAACAAACCTGTACTACAAATTTGGTCCTGAAAGAAACAATGTCTATTTTGTATATTGTGTTGCGGCATGATAAGATTGTATTGTTTTTATTTTACAGAGCACTATTGTTTCCAATACTTCAAAGTTCTTTCTGTGATTTTCATTTTAAGAAAGTTTTTCAATTTAGTCATAATATGTTTGCATATTTTTAGATTTTACCTATAATGTTTACTAGATAATATGTATTATTATCGATTTCTTAAGTTTAACATCCTTTTATAATCACTTTATGGTATACTATAGTCCGCCAATCCACAGTGGGGCTGCGTGGATGACTATGCCCTGATACCCGCTGTATAGAGGAGACTTTTGCCCAGCAGTGGGATATGTATAGGCTATTACTTTTATACTATAGAACTATTCTTGAAATTGTCCTATTGAAAATTAAATCTCCAGTGACCTTTTATTCCTAATTAATTTTGCAGAAGAAACATTTAGTTTTTTTTTTGTTGAAAATAACATGTTGCTATTAGAAGGGCCGCAAGTCCACTCCCAAAGTGCCCTCAACTCCCGCCAAACCAGCAAAAGAACCCAAGACGCCACGTGGGAAAGCAAAGAAAGACGAATCCGGGGAAGGGGAAGAAGAAAAAAAAGAAGAGGAGATCATTAGCAGAAGTGGCAGAAAAATTCGACCTAAAAGGTAAAAAAGTTTTTGCTATGTAAATTTGTAGTACCTGGAGGACCTTTTTTTTGGTAAATCGTGTATTTTGAAAATTACATTTATATACAAATTATTGAGTAATGAAATATGCATAATATTTTTCTATTTTACCGACGTAATAATAAGAAAATATGAATTGGTGTTTTTCACAAAAGAAAGAACTTTAAAAAAAAAGGGAAAAAGAACAAAATGATCTAGATGGACAAAAAATAAAAAATAAAGAAATCAATGATCTGGAGTCGAAAAAGAAAGTAAAACATAAGTCTGTAAATGATCGTGACACGAACCAGGGCCTTATGTTTCGGGGCCACTCGATTACCGACCGAGCTATTATAACATTTTAGTAACACATAGTTACTACTGAAATATTTGATAAATCTGCTATTAGAATCTCACTGGGACATGGGTATTAATGAATATGGAGCCTGTATGTTTTTATCTTCTCCATACGGTTCCAGTTTGAGGGGCTTAATTCTTGCCTTTTTATCTCTGTAAACATTTAATACTATAATATTAGTACAGAATATATTTGGAGACCTTTTTACACAATAATACCTAGTCCGGTACTAAGCAAATTTGTAAAATACCCATTTAGGTACTGATAAAAATATTTAAGCATACCTTTCTTTTGTCAATCAATACATATTACACTTATATTAAGACCTAGACACTAGAAAAACACAATGTTTATCACACAATATTTTTGCAGTGGTAGAAATGAACTCACACTGGCATAAGAGACTTGTTCCACTATGCCAATAGGTTGTCTTTGTTACAAAAGAGAATTTTTGTTTTTAAAGAGAGTTAGAGGTTTTATGGCGAATTAATGTTTTAGTAAGTAAAATACTGGAGATCCATTCGCATGTTGATAATTTCAGATAAGATCAATGTTGAGGGACCTCCAAACATTATAAAAGCATCAATAGCCGAAATGTGGTTATGTAGGTCGAAATCACGTTTGCGATGATGATGCACAAATAACCATTGTAAACTAAGAAATACGAAAGCTCTTTGCTTAATTAGTAATAATAATTGGCATTATGTCTTCGTTTTATTTGTCAATCAAAAGATGAGGCAAGAGCTAAATAAAATATTCTTTACAATTTTCAGGTACATAGATGAACAAACTGAAGAAAATAATACATTACCATCACCTGCACCAAAGAAGCGTCGTGCTGTGTCCCCCATTGTTGAAAAAGAAAAGGAAAAAGAAAAAGATACTAGTACTGCTAGGGAGAAATCTGACAAATATAAACACTTCAATGCTGTAACACAGGTTAATTGTTTTTTCAGTTAAATGTTTCTTCAGTGCAGTCGAATCTAAACAAAAATTGTAATGTATGGTACTTGCCTTGTAGATAATTGTAATGTATGGTACTTGCCTTTAAAATATGTTTTGAAATATGAGAATTATTGTTAATTATTGGTATATATTAATTTGTTAATTAATTAATAATCTCTTGAGAGGATGGATTCAAGACTTAGATGTGTCCCAACCACAATTTACATTTGGAACAAAGAACTGAATAATCAGATTTTCTTGTATTAGCAGAAAACAAATCATGTGGTTAAAATTAAAATATGAAAATTTAATACAAAGTCAGACATGATAAAAATCTGTTCAATTTTTTTGTGTAAATTTTAGTTAAACTAAAATTTCATAAGTGGTTATTTATAATAATTGTTAATATCTGGATTTTTCAGATCGAGCTTGAGGATTTGAAAGAGCCATTTATGCAAGGTAAAGTAAACAATATAATGTTGAATGTAATTGCTTCATAATATTTTACTTCTTTTTGGAATACTAAATTTGGAATACTTAAAAGTTCTGAGTACTTTTAAGTATTCCAAATTATTTGTATTACAGTTTTGACAGACTAAACTACTCTAGCAAATAGTAAATTATCTTAATGAAGTAAATTAGTAAATTGACACATATAAATCAAGAAAATGTATTATACAGGGAGGCTTTTCTAAGTGTATCCATTTTTTTTGTTAAGTTTTAGACATAAATAATGTTATATAAAAAATGATAAATATTTAAAATCACTTGTAATTAATTAATACACTCATTTGATCTTATCTCAAAATGTGAGTGATTTATGGGCAAACCATTTATTTTACGCTCGATCATTCATAACTAAAACGCACACAAGTTCGCTTCGAAAGTATACGACGCATTTATGGATTAGAACGGCAATTTTTTTGAAAAAAATAGTATGTTTTTATTTCAATAAGCGATTATACTACCGAGTTTGAAACTCCTGTGTGAATTTGGGCACCTTTAGAAAACCCACCCTGTATAAGTGTGAAAAATGAATAACATCTGTGCTTTTATTAGTTGTTATGTCAACTTTTGGGAGATAAGTTCTTATTATTTGGTCATTATTATAAGAGCCGTGATAGCTCAGTGTCCGGGCGCTCGCCTTTAATTCAATATACTCGAGCAACCTGAATTCGATTCCCAGTGCCGGCACCAATGAAGTTTTTAACTTTAAGTGCTGACTTATCACGTGCTCCGCGGTGAAGGAAAACATCGTGAGGAAACCTGCATATTTTCGAAATAATAACAAAAAAATATATATATTTCGAAGATATGTGAAGTCCACCAATCCGCAGTGGGGCCGCGTGGTGGACTATGCCCTGATACCCTCTGTATAGAGGAGGCATTTGCCCAGCAGTGGGACATGTATAGGCATGTTACTTTACTTTACTTTATTATAAAACAAATTGTTTATATTTAACTATTTAACCACATGTATTCTTATTATTTGTAAAAATTTACATACAAGTGGTTAATAAAGAACAATTGTTTCTAAAGTAAACTCATAATTAAAACACGAATACAATTAAAAAATTATGATTGAATTTCTAAGATTAAAAAAACAGTACTGGTTGATGAATACAACACAACTGCGGATAAAGTATTAATTCTGAAACTAAATAATTATGGTCGGATTTAATTGATAGGTCTTATTTTGGACATTAAATATTGAATTAATAAACGTATTAACACGTAATAAAAATACGTAACATTCATAACACATTATAGAAATTTAAAGCATTTTTTTGCATGGGAAAGGTACAAGTATTTACTTAATATTTATAGTACTTTGATTTAATTTAATTCAAAAGTTGCTTAACTCTAAATTATGTTTCAGACAACATGAACACTCTCGGAAATTTAAACATTACTGATTACGTAGCGAAAACAACGGTTGTGTCTAACTTTGAGAATTTGACCCTAAGCAAGAGTATGTGCTCAAAACAAATCATCAGAAAACAAAAAATGCAAAAGTTTATTCCACCCTTAAACCATATAACCCTCCTGCCTAATAAAGATATTTCTCTTAAAAAAGATTTATTACATGAGGAACAAAAAGAAGTTATTGTGAAAATAAACACAAACAACCATAAAAATAAAGAATTGGAAAATACAAATAATACGACATTAGAAACAAGTTTAAACACTGCCTTTGAAGGAGCGAATTTTTTAAATAATTCCTTTGATTGTTTACAACAATTGTTTCCTGGTTTGAATAACAATAGTCCAAAAAATGTTCCTATTAAATCTTCCAAAAAGCAGTCGATAGGCTGCCTCATATCCGGTTCACTCAATGTACTCAATGATGATAATTTAGAAGAAGTACCAAGCAGCTCCCAATTGTCTGATAGTTCTAGTGTGAAAAATTTATTGCTCAGTCGAAATGCATCATTTTGTTCCACAGAAAATAAAACCTACATGAATTTAGATTTTTGTAATAATCTAATAAATGAATCAGTTCATAAGATACTATCAGGAGACAAATTTTATAATCTGTTTAAATTTAAAATTGGTGAAGGCACTAAAGTAAGCCAAGTTGCAATGTCTACAGAATTTGGTGATATGGGGTTTAATGTTAGATATGCAGAATTTATAAAGGCCTCTGGATACCAAGAAGAAAATTTAAATGAAGAAACATCTGAAACTATAAAAAAAATATTAAGCACATACCCAAAGGAAAATGAAATTCTTATAAAAATGAATTTGAAACTGTAGATTTTACTGTTTTAATGTAGTATCCAAATTTTTAAATAAAATAATTTCAAAGTTTATTTTAATATTTTTATGTACATCTTTCATAGTTTTAGAGGGCTACCAAATTTGAAGTGTTTAAGACCAAAGTATGGAAACTATTTATGGATCAGTTAGTGGTTAAATTCAAAAATTCAAAGTCTGTGGTTACTCAATTTTATACATATTATATTTTTGTAACATTTAATGGATTAATATTTTATAGTACTCATAATAATGCATATTTTAAGTTCGTGCTTACATTACTTTTATCACTTACTTTTAGGTCTGAAAAACCTATTCGAATGGCTTTTAATTAAAAAATAATAAACATATATTTTATACACACATTACCACCAGTGGCTAACTAGATGTTTTGTTTATTTAGTTTGTACCTCAATACCAACTTTTATAGATAAATTTTATAAAAATTTCATTGATTGTGAATAATTAAATATTCTATATATATACATATATTATATATTATAAATATTATATATATACATATATATAATATTTACTTATTCACAATCAATGAAATTTTTATAAAATTTATCTATAAAAGTTGGTATTGAGGTACAAACTAAATAAACAAAACATCTACTTCACTTTCACTTAACTTACTATATATATATATATATATATATATATATATATTCACTTAACTTACTATATATATATATATATATATATATATATACATATATACATATATAGTAAGTTAAGTGAAATTTTAACTTATTGTACTATTTACAAAAGTATGATACAATGTATTATACATTGAAAGACTGGAAATGTTTAGTACAACTTTTATTTTCCACAGAGGAAGCAGACAAGGAAAATATCCTCATTGCTTATCTCCCTAATGGGCAGTATGTTGGAATTAGACTTTTCCAGTCTAGACCTACAAATTTCAAAAATGAGGCTGCTAGGCTAAATTGGGACAAGCAAGCAGCTTCAAATGCGATCACGCTTAAGTTGCAGTTAGGTATGTACAATTTTTCTTCACTATTTACAAAGTTTCAATAAACCTTCTAGAGTTTGATCCATAATGTCCAGCTGTTTTTGGTTTATCAAGATTTAATAAACATCCGTTAGCATGGTTGTTATCATTAAACCAACTACATGATGTTAATAATTTATAGAGATTACATGGCAATGTTTTTATTAACAGAGAGAGGACAAATAACTTCTCAATCTGTCATGACACAGCTGGTTATGGATCTTCATTTAACTGATGAAGAGAAAGCTACATTGGATAAAGAGAGAGAAACTGGTAAGTTAAACTTCCAATAGAAAAAAGCCGTTAGCAAAGTTATATTATATCACCCGATAATTGAGGCAATGCCAATGCCTTATATTAATTTCGGCCTTAAATAAATTAACATTCCATTTTTAAACTAGTGCACAACTTAAACATGTAAGCTATTTTCTTTCAGAGGAAAAAAAATCGCGTGTTCAATTCTTGAAGACTGAGATGAAGCTAATAGAATTGGATGCTAAAATAAAGACATGTCTATGTTTGGAAAAAGCAGATACCGATCTGTGTTTAAAACTATTGGATGAGTTAATGGGTATGCAAATGTTGAAATTTATTTCTGTTATGATATATTAATAAACAGTACTGCAAGAAAATTATACTGATAATATAAGTTTTGGTTTGTTTGGTTTAGGTTAATTTTAGCTGTGTAAAAACTTTATGAGGCCCCATTTAGTGGGTAAAAAATTGTTTTATCAAAATGTACATGTTAAAATACAAACTCCATTATTATTAACAATAAAATGTTTCTAGAACTTGATGTGAAACCCTTGATGTTGCTGAAACACCCAACATGTTTGGAGACTGTAAAACGAATGCGAGCATATGTTGGAAACACAAACTCATGGGACTTAAGTGAAAGTGCTGCTTTACTTTTTAGTAAGCAGGCTCACCGCATTAGGAAGCAAGCTGACACTCTTTACAAGAATATGAAGGTAATTAGAACAAGAAAAATACTAATTGCTCTTTTTCTTCTATTTATAAATTTATCAAGTTTACAATATATTATTTATTAACAGTTATATATTGGTGTTCGTTCTTATTATATTTCGATACAACACCCTCTTCGTAATTATTACATGTGGTCACAAAAATTCTTGCTAATCTTATTATTCTTCACATTTAGGAATCGAACCCGCAACCAAAACATCACATTTTGCTGGTAGTGTCTTTTAATTAAATAATTATTGTTTTCAGGAGTTATTTACCACACCTGAAGGCCTCCTCATTTTGGGAATACTTCTCGGAAAGGGTAGTACAATTCAAGAAAGCTACTGCCAAGCTTACACCAGACGAATTGCTTGAAATGGTTCATGAACCACTAGGTAACAATTTGCCTTTGACTACATGTAGAATACAATTGAAATGTTCTTAAAATCAGTAATATCATTTTATAACTTATAGCGGTATAAATAATATTACCAATTTATAATTTAGATCTGTATAGATATATAGTAGGTACTTGGAATATAATATTGTCATACTTATAGAGATGTCGATCCCCACATCACATACAATGAAGACATCAGTAGAGGTTGCCAATGATGGGGATACTGTGGAGGAAGAAAATTCTTCTAAAAAGAAAAACAGTCCAGGTGTGTTTAATTTTAATTAATTTTTATTAATTTATACCAATAAATGAAAGATGATAAGTCAAAAATATTAAATTGTATGTTTTAATACTTATTGTGTAACTAACTTCATAAAATAAAAGTATTAGGTCGAGTCTTAAGTAATTTCCTTTTTTTTTATCAGACATTTATTTTGCTCTCAATGAATAACAAAATTATATTAATTTATTATGGTACAATTGTCTATAACCTTTTCCCATCTTCCTGGCAGTTTATCAATTACTACCTTGTAAAAGTAGTTATTTTGGGCAGCAATGTTTGCTTTGCGATCTTTAAGGTGTGGTTGATACTTATCGAGCCACTGTGTTGTCATAGGTAATCTATTTTTCATCGCCTGATACAATGCTGTATAAAAAAGGCTCAAATTTTACCCGTGAGAGCAGACTTGTGTTAATTGACATGCATTCTTCTTTATTCCATTGAGAGATTGGGAGGTAACTTTTCGACTGTCTCTATTTTTTAAGGGGGCAGATAACAGTTGATTGTCATATATTCAACCTTACTGTTAAGCCTCTTGTTGGTTTACGTGGATTTAGCTCCAATATGGACTTTGAAGATTTTACTTAGCTGTATCGGAAGTTATTTATGTTTAGCCCTAATATTTATACAGTAACCTAAGCCTTGAAGTTAATATTTTTAATCTAATTTTAGTTAAAGCCAAAAAACCTAATGGCACTCCCACAAAGCCTGTTTTGAAACGGCAATCATCAAGGAAACAGCAACAGGAAGAAAAAGATATGACTAAAAATACAGATGTGTCTGAAGAAAATACTTCAAATGAAAAGAAAGATCCTGAGAAGGACAAGAAAGATGAAGAAAAAGATAAAGACTCCATTGGTGATGAAAGTACAGAAGTACCAAATGCAGAAAGTCCAAAAACAGCAGAGCCAATAGAACAAAAAGAAACAGATGCAGAATCAGAAAAGGTTGAAGAGACAAAAGAAAAAGAGGACAGTTCTGATTCAAATCCAAATACCACTGAAAGTGAAAAAAGTCCAATAGCAATACAAGAAAAACAATCAGAACAAAAGCCTGAACAAGACAATGTAGAGGAAGTTACAGAAAAGGAAAAAGAAAAACAAGAATCTGATGAACCACGAGCAAAACGGTCAAGAGAGGTATGAGGCACATTATTCATACCAAATATTAGTATTAGTATTTTTTAATTTTTAATTTATTTAAGAAAAAAATTCTGTGACAATAAGATTAAAACCGCCATTATAATTTTTATTTTTATATGAAATCAACTTGGTACCTGACTATAATTAAATATAAACCCTAGATGATGACTATTTTATTCCTTTCAATCAATTGGCTAGTCCAATTAATAATATTTAATTTAATTGATTCTTAATAATATTGTTTTATTTGGTTTGTATGCATAAGTCTATATATATGTGGTTTTATATTTTTTTTTTCTATATGTTAATTTTATTTGACTTTCACAAATCATTCAATCAATACATACTCAAGTGATGTTTAACGTATTGGCGCAATTTGTATGGTTAGTAATTGTTTTTTCAGAGTAAGAAGACTGAAGCCCCGCCCCCGAGATCTCCAACTAAAAGGAAGTCTAAATTTTAGTTATTTCTTTTAATTTGGTCCCACTCCATGCACAATGTGGCCACACTTGTGTTCCCACAGTAACACCAACTGGATTGGAAAGAAATTCTTTTCTTATATATAAAAATATACATGAATATTTTTTTAACCATGTACATTGTGTTGTTAGATATGTTAAATTATTCTATTTGAGTTGCTATAATTTTGTTGTTTATATAGACGTGACATCTAACATACATTTTTACACATAAATATATACCTATTACTGAAATGTGCAGAGTTTTTCTGAAATAAATTGCATTGCATGTCTAAATTCTAATAAACATATAAGAAAACGTTTAATTATAGGTAATTAATCTGGTGCCCTTGAAGAAACGAATGGTGGAATTTCAACTATAAAAAAGCCAGCAAAGAAAAATGTGTTTTCCGCCCTGTAAGCGGCAATTGGCTAATTTGTATCAATTAGGGATAAAATTCATAGATTTAGGAGTTGATAATGTAAGCTACACAAAGTACATTTATTTTATTAGTTCTAAAATTTTATATGTAGGTTAACTTGTAAATATTAACAAAATATTGACGATATTTTTTTCGAATCAATATTTTATGTGATATAAGACGATATCCCTATATTGCATTTTCATAATGCAGTGGTGAGTGCTGCAATTTCGCTTTGTATTGTATAAAGTATACGTATGTAAAACTAGATATTTAATTAGTTATAAGATTTGAAAATCACACGCTCGATTTAGAACTTGACGAAAGTTTCTGCCTATATTTTTATCGTGTTGAAGAAGTATTTTTATTTGTTATCTATATAAGGGAGTTGCGGAGTCCATTTGTAAGGAAATTGACTTGTAAAGAACAATTATTGTCTTCATATTATGGTCAAGAATATTAAAAATAATTTTTGAAGTATTTACTGCTATTTTTATTTAACAGAATTTGGATCCTATGAAAATGATGTAGCAGAAATATGTTTCGTCATGAGAATGAATAAAAAACAACTTAATTCCAATTTTATGTATGGTATCTTATTTACGACAGTAAATGAACACTTCTGAAGCTACTTGCCAATAATCATAAACAAATAAAATCGTTAACAAAAACCATAATTAAGAAAATAATAATTTTCAAACTAATTAAAATAAGAAAATTTGTAACACTTATATTAACTACAACTGACTGATTCATACATTCAGAGATCTTGTCATTTGTTGACACAAAGTAGCATTACAAGTACATTTTTACATTTTTTATATCTTAAATTCATTCAACCAATTCATATGCTTGTGACCTTTACGTAACAGTTTTATACCTAAGGATGTTCTAAAATTATTTGTTTGGGAAAATGTAATCACTCTGTAAATATTGATGTTTAATACAATTTTAAAAAGTTATCCTTTACATGTGTGCTGATTTATGGTCGTACGTTGCATTATATTGAAGTGCAGTTCGTATAGGTAACGTAGGTGTGGCAAACATTTAGTTAAGAAGCAGTTTGTAGTTAAGCGAAATTTTATTTAAAACAATATAAAAATACCGTACCATTAACAATGGTGTTTGTTTCTTATTCTAAAATAACATTGAAAAAAAAAAACATTGACATAAATTTAGTATCTTCGATGATACTTCCGGTTATGCAAAGGGTACAATGATAGTATTTTTTTTTCATTCTCTCTTGCCTTAGTCGCTGAAATTTTAAAAAATTATTATAAATAATTGGCCCAATTTCAATCGTATAACGTTAAAATGGTTATAATGTTAAATATTGCTGTTCGTACGAAGGTGGTGAGTAGATGTACCATAACTTCACAACGAAATTGGGATGTTGGAAAATTCAATAAATGCTACCAAGTCAACATGTACCTAGCCTCGTATCGTCACGTCGGCGCTCTGGGTACGGTGCGAAAAAAGCATAAATGGTAAAAGTTTACAACATTACGATTCGTTTATAAGCTCAAAAAATTTTAATCGATAGAGAAATTAAAATATATAAAAAAAACTTTTCGTACTTTTTCTACATATTTTAATGTTCAATCTTAAGTGCAAAGATTAGCACTATATTTTTTTTTTTTAATTTCGATAGGGAAATGTTAATAGTGAAGTATATGAGTTAAAACCCATGATGAAAGGGAAACCGGGAGGCGCATAGTTCTCGAGATCTCGAGGCGTAAGTTCAGCTTTGTATTTTTGTGGATGATCGCCAAAAGTCCTTTGAAAATATAATCAATGCTTTATTAGAAATGTTTTAATTTATGAAAACTATATAACTAAACTCACTAGTTTAGTTATATAGTTTTCATAAATTAAAACTCTATCCGCCGCGGCTTCTCACGGGTGAAATGTATTATACATATAAACCTTCGTCTCAAATAACTCTATCTAGTAAAAAATTATTACAAAATGACAAATATTGAATTAATATTTATACGACGTTAGTACGTCACTCAATTGTGTCGCCTTCCCGGAACTTAAACTTTATGTTATGGTGTTAAAGTTCAAATTGACTAAGTATTGTTAGGAATCTTTTGTATGCGAATATAGAAATAAGAAAAGTGTTGTTCTTAGACTTTTTCAGGCAATTTTTAAAATTTTTCTCAGTAAGAACCATCCCCGTACTTTAAGGAATATAAAAAAGGAATTAGCGAAGTCGGTTCAGCTGTTCTCGAGATTTGCGCTTAGCAACACATTCAGCGATTCATTTTTAGTACCTGGAGGACCAGAGGGGTTTGTTTTTTTGGGTCAATCGTGAATTTTGGAAATTACATTTAGATACAAATTACTGAGTAATGAAATATGCATAATATTTTTCGATCTTACCGACGTAATAATAAGAAAATATGAACTGGTGTTTTTCACAAAAGAACTTTAAAAAAAAAAGGGAAAAAAATGACAAAATTATCTGGGTCGACAAAAAATAAAACATACAGAAAGCAATGATCTGGAATAAAAAAAAGTAAAAAAATAAGTGTGTAAGTAATTGATCGTGACACGAACCACGGCCTTCTGTTTCGGGGCTGCCCGATTACCGACCGAACTATTATAACTTTTTTTTCGGTAAAATTTACCGTCGCATTCGAATGATTTTTCATTCCCTGAAAACTGGGATAAAACGACATTATGAAACACAAAATGAAACCTAGCCAGATCGATTTTTCGCCCCCGAATCTACACATATACAAAATTTCATGAAAATCGCTGGAGCCGTTTCCCAGATTCCGATTAAATATATATATACAAGAATTGCTCGTTTAAAGGTATGTGATATATAACTTTAACACCGGTCATTTTGTTAATAATGAATTGCTCTGTTATACCACCAAAAGCGGTATCTCGACCATCTAATATTTTTTCTTTCATCAAACATTTTTCCATTCTCGCACGTTGTTAATGATCGCGTCAACTTTTTCTTTCGTTATTTTCATTCGATTTGAAATCTGCTTGGTTGGGTGTGAAAACACATTAAAAAAAAGGTCTGAGCAAAACGAAAAAATATTGTTATATTTGTTAAAATAATTAACTGAAATTGGTTTTTTTAAATAAAATAAATATATGTTAAGCTGCTAGATAGTTTATTGCGGAAAAGTTGAAAATGCGCGGCAGGGTAAAATGCGGTAAAACGTGAGGGACTAGCCGCGCCTTGGGTCGCATTTCAAAAACCAGTACTACAAGCCGTATCTCATTCTACACTATTGTGGTGCACTCACACGCAAATTGAGCTTATGCCTTGAGATCTGTAATGTGACCGGGCACGTAATGTTATTCTATTATATACCAGAAGCATTCAAACACATGGATTTGAATTTTTTTTATGTCAGAAGACAATTGAGCTGGCGAATCACCAAAATATCATTATTGAAATAGATGCTTGCGCGTTCTTATGAAACGTCGAATTTACATAATAATTGATACCTAAATTCGTAAGTGATAAACGCCGCCCATTGACCTTTGCAATACCCGTAGGGTTGCAGATGCGATGCCGCCTTTTAATAAAGTGGGCCCCGACTACCTCACTCACCAGACGAAACGTCGAAGTATAACATTTCCACTTCACGCCGGACTTCTGAGAGATCGTGGTACTTACCTGGACGGACCTGCCCATTCGTACAACACAGAACACTGTTGCGAGTCCCTACCACAGCTAAAAAAACATTTATTTTATTTGCTCAATTAGGCGAAACATCATAAAAACAATAAATTTTAGTCTTATTTAAATACTACACCACTGAAAGTTATAATACATAGGTATTACGCAAATAGTATTCAGTGCGAATAAAAAACTCATACCTACCATCATGTTCAGTTTCGTATTGCTTATGTGCATCAATTAACATTCCAATATCGAAGCCCACACCTCTTATGTCGGGAGTGGGATTCCTTGGATAAACAGACTTATTTTCCATGAAGCACTGTTCGAAAGACGGTATTTGGACGTTTTGAAACATTTTTAGGAAATTGTCCCCTTCAGGGATTTTATGGTTTCCGTTATTAGCATGTCCTTGAAAAGTGTTATACTTTGTAAAAGTTATTATGTTATGCGGGATGTTACTTAAAGAAGGGGATGTTTGTAACGAATTTAAGGGAGCTGCATTAGTAGCGTTGACTTGCAAGCGGTCGTTCGTTGTTCCTACTGTAGGAATCTGTTTCGTATCTTCTAGTATTTGCTTAACTTCGTTCATATCTGTGTATTCAAAATTGGTTGATTCACATCCTTTGTAAAAGTTCGAGCTTGAGACATTGTACGTTCTTATTTTAGATTCATTAAGAACATTTGCTAAATCAGTTTTGTTGAAATCAATGTTTTCTTCAAAGTTGTCTGAATCTGTAATATGTAACTTAGGCTCTAAATAATCTGATTGCCCCAAATTAATGGCTATTATATTGTGTTCCTCTTGGTTACGTTTGATTCCATGTTTATTTCTTGCCTCGATAGTCCTGATATCTAGATCTTTGTTACTCAAAAGCTGAATATTTTCCTCTGGTGCTTTTGTTGCTTCTAGATAATTATTATAAAATGAACAGTTTTCTGATTCAGAACAAAGAGTATCAGTTTCTAATTTACTTTGTTTTAAATTTAAAAAACTTTTTAGGGGCCAAACACAATGATCGTTATTTTCTTTATCACTGATTTTATTGCAAATATCGGTTTTAACAATTTTAGTTTCATTATGATAATTATTGGATGAAATCGACGGATCAAAATTTAAAGCTGTTATTGTTTTTATATTTGTACGGATGTTAGTATAATTTTTGTTATCATTACGTTGTTCGGAATAATTATTGGAACAAGGTTCTGTAACGATCTTTTTAGAAGATCTTTCTTCGAGTCGGACTTTATTTATTACTTTTCTTAAATAAAGTGAACTGGTCAACATGGAGGTGCTTTTCGATTCAATGTAACATTTTGTATTAATGTTATTATCAAGAATATGGCAAAAAATATGTTCTGATTGACAATTTAAGTTAGGACAATGTAAAACTACTGCCTCATTTCGAGTTGAATCAAAATTTGATGCAAACATTTTTAAATTGACTTTAGTTTTATCACATTTATTTCTCTCAAGGATAACTTTATTAGAGCGGTTGTAAGCCTGGAAAAATGATTAAAATAAGGTATAGGTATTATAAGAAATGCGACTGTAAAATTAGAAATATTGTAAATATTAAAATGAGTTAATTATTTAGACTGTAAGATGATAGACTAGATACATGATTTCTTTTAACATCTGTGTTTGCAATAAATTGATTTGAAAAAAAAAAAAATGGTCATTATAAATCATTGAACATAAAGCCAAAGTACAATCGAAGCAAAGCGAAAGTACCAACTAAATGGTGCTGAAAGACCATCTCTCCCTACCATGATCAAAGACTAGGGTTCTTTCTTCACTCTGCAGTTTCTTATAATTTTTATTCAATCATTGTTCCGTGGTTGATTCGTTTTTTATTTAAGGAAACAAATTAACATAATCTTAATCAATACTTATAAATAAGTATAAAGAAAACTATAAAAAGGGAATATCCAATCTCAGAAAAATTAAACATTTATTTTTTGCCATCGCATACATCTGTTAAGATTTTATTCGAAGAGTATTGATTTCAAAATGTCAAAAATAGAATAAATCAACTACAAAAAGTGTCCTGTACCGGTGATATGTTATTCCTTGACAGTTCTACAACTTATTATTATTCGTGCGAATAGTGTTTATAAAATGTCTAAAACAATACATAAATAGACGTCGTTGTGCGGGATAATGGTAGGTGATGTAAAGGTGTGCGCGAGGCATGTATACGTAATACGTATGAGCGGTGTGGCTTATTTACTGTGCCTCACTGTCATTCAATAACGTACCTGTTATTTTGCTAGTCCGTGAGATAAATATTGTCCACACATAATTAATTTGGGCAAATGTAAATAACTTTAACTCTTCCGTAATTCAATTAAAATAAACTTTAAACAATAGAGAAAAATCTCTAATGAATTAATCAACAAGCAGAATTCGGCGGTCGCTTATAGTTTTCGAGAAAAAGAAATATTTAAAGTTATTTTTACTAAGTATTCCACCATTTTATTTATTTCACTTCAAAAACTCAATACACAGTTCTGCCAACATGATAAATATAGGAAACAGGCGACATCATACTCGTATCGATAGTCCAATTTTTTTAATTTAATGGGTCACAGAACCGACACAGAGCAAATCCGACTCGGATAGATTAGGTTAGAATTAGGGTTAGATTAGATAAGGTTCGATGTTAGGTTTTTTTTTATGACCACCAAGAAATACGAGCAGAATTGACATATTGACAACAAAAAAATGGCGGATTTCTATAGTAAAAATCACATTTCATTATTTATTTTTTCGAAAACTATAAGCGACCGCCTAATTCTGCTTGTTGATAAATTCATTAGTGATTTTTCTCTATCGTTTAAAATTTATTTTAATCGAATTACGCCACAGTTGAAGTTATTTACATTTACCTTAATTTGCAGTGAATTATCCTTATAAGATGGCTTATCTTACAGGATACAAAAAAGGGTCGTTTCTATCAGTAGTTAAATAATAGAACATACCTGTTTTTATAAATCTCGTGCACGAAAATTTCTTAAAAGGTATGTGCCGGCTACTAAAATTTTAATAAATACGGACGGTTATAGCTAAATAGTTTCAATGGCGGGAGTTTTTTTTTTTGGAAAGAGGCTTTTGCAACTAAGGTCTTAAAAATAAGTACGACTAAAAATATTAAGATAATTTATTACATAATAGAAATGCGGTTTATTAACAATTTAAGAATATTTTTCCAAAATACAAAGCCACCTTACTGGCAGCGTGTTTTCAAGCAACGCTTTGTAGTTTTATTACTTAACATAGTGAATTTAAAAAAAGTACTATGCACCTAACTCTTATTGTAATTTATGTTTATAAGTAAAATGCAAACTATGAAATAAAGATCATTGAGAGGTTGTAATAATATGTATAAATTTATAACAAATTGAAAATTTATGTTTGTCACTTTTTTCCGGATTTTTTAATACCACCTTGAGTCAGTGGCCCCTTCTGATTTGCCTTAGCCTTGGCTTCCTGTAAAAATTAAATTGTTAATTTGTATACAAAATGTTAGAAGTAATGTTATAGGAAAGTGTGTAAGTATTTACATTGGTAAAAACGCAAAAATTTATACTTCTTAAGCTTGAAACTAAAAAATTAACAAAACTTTTTTTTATGAACGATTTAATATTTTGATTTTTTTTATTGGATTTTGAAAGAAAAATATTTTGAGGATAATTTTTAAAATATCTTAAAGGAGATTTATCGAATTTCGTGCTCATTCTCAATGATATTTTATACTACAGATTGATGATGCTAACGCGCCATAATAATTTTCTCATTGGGACTTCTTTAGTTCACGATAAGCAGAATAGCTAGTAATACGCGGTGCCAAAAATTTTACAATAATAAAGAAGGAATCTAAGGGTAAAATTCAAAGGATCTCATGTCTTATGTATCTTCGATTTATTAGTATATTTCAGTTATTTTCTTTTAAAAGTTTTATTTGTGTATGTTAGTAAACAAAGAGGGGGAGCATAACATACTCATAAAAATTTAAGTTATTACTGGTTTCTAACTACCCCCCCTACTAGGTACCGACTTACAGAGAGGATTGCAATCGTACATACCTAATGAAAGAAATTAATCTATAAGGAGATATTAATATGTCGCATCTTGAAAACTTATTGAATACTAATATATATAGCTCAGTTTTTGAAAATTCAATGCAGCAAACACTCGCTTTCAATTCTCAAGTAAATTTAATTTTAACTCATAAAAATAATCCCGAATTAAAAAATCTCAGAGAGGAAATAAATTTACTTTCTTCGAATCGTGTAATTATTTTTTTAGTGTAAAAGATATCTATAGTTTAAAATTTAGTTGTTTGTGTTAATTTCATGTAGCTGTTCACACAAATAGTAAAAAATTCACTTTCATAATTTTTCTCTAACACTCTAAAATTAATGGATAACAACTTATATGTCCAAATAAATAGGTGTCTTTAATTTAAAAATTAAAGTTATTGGTATTAATTATGTTATAATTAGAACAGGGTTTTAAGTAATAATTTTTGCTTGAATTTTTGATTTCTGTTGCAAGGTAACACAATACCTTCTTTTATTTTTAAATTGCAGTATTTTTACATACAATACTGTTAAGTGATTGTACCTTGGGTATGAAGGTGAAATCATTATTATAAACATTTATTATCAGGTGCTAACAATGATTTACACACAGGCCAGTCTATGGAGGCCAAGCCAGTGTACTTTAGTGCAATATATATTTATATATGTGAAATAAAATAATAATATAAATTGAAATAAGAGGTAAGTAAATAGTCAAACAATAGTACATAATTAAAATTACGGTGGTAGGGCCACGCAGCAGCCTCGGCTGTTACACGAATGGGCAGGCCCGTCCAGGTAAGTGCCACAACCTCACAGAAGACCGGCGTAAAGTGAAAGTATGACAAATACTTTCGCGTTTCGTCTGGTGAGTGAGGTAGGCGGAGCCAAATTTTCAAAAGGTTGTTAACGCCTCTGTAACCCTCGGGTGTGGCAGATGTCCATGGGCGGCGGTATTCACTTAACATCAGGTGAACCGTCTGCTCGTTTGACAACTTTTCGCATAAAAAAAAATACAATAAACTACCATGAACAAAATCTCATATTTACTGATGGAGCTAATCATTACATTACCTAATGCAAATTAAAGTTTGTAATAACACATTTTCATTTTTTTTGTAATCATACCTGTAAAGCTTTTTGTTGTTCTTTCAGTTTTTGTTTGAGTGCAAGGTCATCTTCATCCATTTCCCTTGCTTCCTTTTTAGGGGCCTTCAGAGGTTTCTTTTTACCACCTTCCCTGCCCGACATCTAAGTAGAAATGTTCATGTAAAATTTTTAAACTCATAATCTAATATTTAAATAATATAAATTTGGTTCTCAAATTATGTATATTGTAAATTGTGTATGTGTTGTAGTCATTTGTTGTTGTTAAATCACTTGTAGTCTTTTCTTTTTAATTTTGCAATTTAAATGAATACTAGCGACCCTCCCGGCTTCTCATGAGTGCAAACGCTGAATGTTTGTATTCGACATTGCATTAGTGTTTCTCTACTATTTCTATACTACTCTACCGTTCTATACTATGCAAGAATAATAGGTATAAACCTTCCTCTTGAATCACTCTTTATCTATTAAAGAAAACCACATCAAAATTCGATTTTGTTTTATACTATTTAGTGAAATTACTAAAATAAAAAACACATTAAGTTTTTCACTTGATCTTTCACATAATATGAACATGTGAATGTAGAATTTAGTCTTGACAAAAATTAAAACAAAACAAGGAAACTTGTTTACTACCTAATACAAATTTCCTAGAACTACTTTTATATAATTTCATGATAATATAAGTCAAATTTCTAGCATGTTAGAAAGGCTTTTAATGTATTTTTAAAATGAAAACTGCAAAGCGATTATCAACATGGTAAATGTATATAAAGTGCGAAAATATATTTTTTGGAATGAATCATCATGTTCCTGCCCTTATCCCAACTAGGCGGGGGTCGGCACAAGATATGAATCACACTGTAAGAAGGTCTATATTTTTTTTACGACCTGTCGCTAGCCCCACATTTACCCTCCCTGCAAAACAAACACCTAGATCCGGAACAATTATATTTGGGATACAAAAATACTTATCCAGTGTGGGAATCGAACCCACAACCCCCAACACCACCAGTAGCTTAGCAAAGGAGAGCTGAATTCCACACACCACACACCACAGAGCTGAATAGCTTTTAATTTTAAAGTTATATAATAACTTCAATTTTTATATAATTTATCGACATGATGAAAGGCTTTTCATTTTTTATTATGAGACAATTTTTAATTCCTACAATTTTGGAAGAGCAACATAATTAATCCTTATTCATCCGATTATTGGACAAATAACAACATCCAATTTATTCAATTACTGGATTAAAATTGAATATTCTCCGGCTTTTAAATTATTAGTGTTTCAAGTTTGCTTTTGATAAGGATCTTATAACTTAAACAATTTTGAATGACAGAAAATTAACTTTTTCAGTATAAATATATATAATTGAAAGAAAGAAAGAAACATTTATTCACTTTACAACAATAGATACATAAGAAACTTAGAACATAATGGAATTACACAGTATATAAAATAATGCTATCGCTAATGTAAGTTGTAATACAACAATACAAAATTATAAAGATAAAACGAAAATTAATATTTGATTATTCCGTGAATAATTTAATTGTTATTTATAATGATTTATTATGGAAATTGTTTTTGAATACCTACTAAGAACATGATCAACAAGGTAGACGAAGAAACACGGAGGTATTCAAAATTACTTTTGCACTCGGCTTTAACAGACATAGTTTTTCTTTTACTAAGTCGCTCTGAACGAGTGCGTTTAAGAGTATTGCGTAGAAACATAATATAAAAGAAATCGGCATTTGTCATATCTAACCTATCGTTTCGCATTGTGACACTAATTATTATATACAGATGATCAATATAAAAAAATTAAAGAATAATAAACCTTTAACTTACTTCTCTGCTCAATTATTAATTTAAAAATATTTCCGTAAAACTGTAATTTCGCACAAGCACGAATTAATAGGTGTGATGACGCTTGACGGATGACAGAACAGATGACAATTCTAATTCTTTCACTCAATTCGACAGTTGGGACATGTTGCCAGAAATACATTTATTAATGTTGAGAATTTTCTTTTGTAAGTTTATAACAAATAAGATTATTTATATTTCGAGTGTAAATGTATTTTATTGTTAGCCCAGCCAATAGGCCTCCGCCATAGACTGCCACGAAGTACGATTCTGAGCCACCTGCATCCATCGACTTTCCGCACATATTGCACAGGTCATTAGACAGTTTAGTCGGAAAAGATCCTGGGGTCTTTGTACTCTTCGTTGAATGACATGTGAATGTTTGTTAATGTATCTAGCGTGGCACGGTATCGGCTGATGTTTAACCGTTCGAGCCTCGTCCTAGAAGAGAAGTATTGTCGATGGAAGAATAAAATTATTCATAGTGCACGTTAATGTATCGCCTGGACTATGACGTCAGCATATCGGTTCAAGGGGTGCGGGATAGATACCGAAAGTTTTAAACGAAGGACTTGAATGGGCAATGAATTTTTTAAGTGTCTTATCGACACCTCTTTCAAGAAATTGAAGAGTATTGTTATTTTTAGGTCGCAATGCAGTATGGTGTTTCGTATATACCAAAACGCCTAGGTAAATAAAGATAGTAATGGATATCTCAATAATTTGACAAGAGGGAGTTTTTTCTTCTGGCGTCACTTTTCTTCGGTTTGAACTTGATCCGTTACTTTCTGAACCATTCGCCCAGGGCGCTTAGTGACAGATTGTAGACGAATAATAATACGGGTTTTGTAGCGAGCGTATGGGTTGGCAATTGGACGCTTAATCTCTGCCGTCATTTGGCTTAGGGATTCCAATGACGTGAGCTGCGTTTCATGTATCGGGAATGGTGCAGCTGTCAAGAAGTGTGTTAACTATGGCCATTAGAAAAAAAGTAAAACTAAATCAGGGCCGAGCACGGAGCGGTTTTTGTGATTTTTCCGTTTGTGGAGTGCACATAAAATAGTAGTAGAAGTATAAATTACATTGAGATTTTCGTCGGTGTGGCAAACAGCCATTAAGTTTAGTGGTTAATGCGTCTGGGCGCATTTCCGGAAGACGCGAGTTCGATTCCAGCAGCGGTTAAAATATTTTAGTTAATTTTTCTTCAATTTTAATGTTTTATCTTAAATGCATTAATTATCACTATGTAATAACTACTAAAATGTAAAAAAATAAGTCTATCCTATTGGGAGTTTTTAGGGTTCCGTACCCCCACGCAGCAGCCTCGGCTGTTGCACGAATAGGAAGGCTCGTCCGGGTAAGTCTACGACCTCACAGAAGACCGGCGTAAAGTGGAAGTATAATAAATACTTTCGCGTTTCGCCTGGTGAGTGAGGTAGCCGGAGCCCAATCTTCAAAAGGTTGTCAACGCATCTGTAACCCTCGGGTGTAGCAGATGTCCATGGGCGGCGGTATTCACTTAACATTAGGTGAACCGCCTGCTCGCTTGGCAACTTTTCACATAAAAAAAAAAAAGAAAAAGATCACTGTGGAGTCATAGAGTAATGCCTATATATAAGTCCTATATAGTCCAAGGCACCTTCTTTAATTTGTGCGCTATTGTACGCAATGGGACATTTCAATCCTGTTAGCGATGTCACAGAGGAGTGGTATTTCCTGGCACAACCGTTCGCGCGGATGGTGCGGGTGAGACGCCTGCGTGATGCGTCGATAGTGATGCCAGACAGGACACAAACCGGGTGGTCATCGACCCTTTGGGCAGATCAATTGCCGGTTAAGTGATTTTGGGGCCTTGGGGGCGGCGACGGCACAGGCAGCACTAAACATATTTGAATACTTATTATATCTCTTTTAATTAATCTAGTTTTCAAATATTCTTTGTAAAATGTCATTTAAAAAAGTGTCGTTTGATGTAAAAAGCACACTAGACGGCGCCAAGCTTTTTGAAAAAATGCAACAAAAACAATGTGGATAAGACGTTGAGATTGCGTGCGGATGCGGTGAGGATATGCACTGCTTATGGGCACGTTACCTGGACAACGCGGGTTTGAATCTCGGAGAGGGCAAAAAAATTTTGGACAGTTTTTCTATACATTTTAAGTCTCATAGGGCAGATAATACCAGTCAAATAAAGTTCTATATTTATTTATCTGTGATTGGGCTAAGCAGCAGCTACGGCTGTTGCACGAATGGGCAGTCTCGTCAGAGGAAGTATCACGGCTTCACAGAAAATCGGCTAGAAATGGAGGTATAATAATTTCGCGCTTCCTCTGGTGAGTGAGGTAGCCGGGGCCCACTTATTTCAAACGTTGTTAACGCACCTGCAAGCCAGGTGTTGTTGACGTCCATGGGCAACGGTAATCACTTAACATCGGGTGAACCGGCTGCTCTCTAGACAACTTTTTACATAAAAGAAAACATTAGCAAAAATGGATATTATCTAGTTTTGAAATATTTACTGTAAAATGACATTTGAGAAAGTGTTGTTTGCTGTATAGGAAGCATAGTATATTTTCGATCATTTATTTTAAGTACATTTAATATATTACGATAAATTACAGTTTTGTATTATTATTTGCGTATGCAATGAGTTACAATGAACTTGTATTGATATACGGATTCATAATTACTCACTAATCGCTATATAATTCCTGTTCACCGACATGTACGTTGATTTTGGTTTGTTTAGCTATTTTGCTGGTCAAGTTATAATTATTTCTTAAATTTAAATTTCATGTTAGATGGTTAGCCTTCCTGTATTTTAAAAAAGAGTGGCCATTCCTACGGATTCTAACGGATTGGTCAATCTTAACCTAATTGGCACCCACTTGTGGTACTTTTCGGATTTACTTATTTTGATTGTGTGTGAGGTATTTGTTTATCACAGAACCGACTAGCAGGCGAAGGCCAATAGCCTGCCGACCAGTGTTAATAATAAGTTTTTATAATTTGGTGTTTTCTAGATCTTCCTGGACGATGGTTATCGCTCAACATCCGGTCAAACTCTCCGCCTCATTGATGCAATCTTTTATTAAGATAACAGCATAAAATTGTGATAAAGTGGATTTATCGACATCAAATTGTCATTTTTTAAAAAATATAGATTTTTTGAATTATAAATTTTTGTAGATAAATAAACATAAATTTTCGGCACTGCGGGATTCCAACACTGTTCTTCTGGTTTCGCGTCCATATTATTGTTGACTGAATATATAAATAATGGATATAGTTAAATGTTATGTTGAATGTAACGTAATCCTGTCCTGTCCTGCTGTAAATAAATGCTATCGCTTCCTAGCGATGACCACAATAGTTGAATCACATTAAATCTTAGAGTCCCCTTTTAAACAACGCGAGAAGAACTAGAAAAACGGTAAAGTGTAAAACAGGAACCGTTTTAAGTAAGGTAAGGTATATATGTCGAATGACAATCCTCCTATTCTCTTAGTCTCCGATGCTCCTTTATCACGACGTGTCAACATTGGTGACAGGCATCAAGTAATTAGTGCGTTCAGAAAGGGCACAAAAACGGCGAAAGTCCTTTCAAATTAACCGGGTGCATCCACAATGGCAGGAGGTTTCAAAATCCCGAGCCGAAAGCAAAGACGGGGTTGAAATGAAAGGGGCTAGCGGTAAACACGCGGCAGCAGCAAATTGCGTTTGATGGTACGCGCTCGCTTCCTGGATGCACTTAGTTGCATCACACATTGCTTTATGCAGCCCGTTGTCACACCGTCGCGTAACACCACAACAGTGTTTCCATTTTCGGACGCAAAAGTCGTGAAACGTGGCAACAGATTGCCCTATATTTCTCTATTATTATTACCACACATAGTAAACCTTTTTTATATAAATTATTTTATAATAAAAATACAAATGTTTGTAATTATTTTGAAAACTATGATTATGATTACTAATAGCTGAACAATAAGCGGGGTGATGACTCGGTTACCAAAGTTTCTAAGCAGTAGTCTTTAGATCCGCGGGTTATCAGTTTGATACCATTCGGTACAAGTGTGTATATAATATGGCCTACCGGTAATTGTTCGAAGTCCATACGATTGTCCTTGTTTAATTTGTTTGTAGAACACCTATAATATAGGGTTATTTTGTCTTACAATGGGCATTTTTTAAAAGATAAGAAAGGTTATGGCAATTAATAAAAAAAAATTGTAACCCACATTTCACAATGCTCAATGCGAAAAGCTTTCGCCATCTTACGAATGTGCTATGACTGAGGAAGTACCACGGCCTCACAGATATCCAGCGTGAAGTAGATTATTATACTTTTGAGGGCCGTCCGCTGGTTGAAGTAACGCTGGTCGAATGTTTTTAAAGGATGGCCACGGAACTGCAAACTATCAGGTGAATTTGATGACTTTGGATGGATGTAATCACTTATCATCACCCGTTGTGCCTGCTCGTCTTCCACATTTTCACATGCAAAAATCTCAAAAGCATCGGGCAATAGTCGTGTCTCGTATTCCCCTTGTAGGTTAACAAAGATCATAAGAGTTTCTACGAGTTTAGATAAATAATGGGATTTCTGATCTTTGATAAATAATGAACCATTTAATTAGCTTACCACATAGATATTAAAAAATTACGTTATATACGAAATATTTCGTTATATCGTTTTCCTGTTTCAGAGGGGAGCCTCGAAAAACCTAATCAGCATTAATTTTAACTATTTTGTTACGTTACTCAACAAATTATATGAATTCAACTCTCGGTGTGCGCTCGGCTCGGCTTTTGTGTCCTGGAAAAATGTACACTGTATTATGCGCACAATGAAGTAAGACTTTGTTTTATTTTCACGGAGTCTCTTATAAAGGAAGTCGTGATAAAATCCTATGAAGTAAAGACGTATATTGATACTTAAATTGGAAAAAGGAAGCGCATGGACAAAGTAAGGAATCTTTTAACTTAAATATAACATAGAAATATATAATAGAATTTCTGGAACATGTATTTAACTGCACATATGGTGTAATTGTTTTAGGTCGTCATGTAGTTATTTCATTGTCCACACGCTTTTTGATCACACAATTTTTTTACTTCACGAAACAATAACACAAAGTTTTTAGCTTATTTTATTGAAGATGCCGTTAGTTTTAGTTAGAGAATCGCTTTAGACCATGTAACTAACATTAATTCAGACACAAAAAAACCAAAGTTTTTACACATTTACGTTTTACCGGTCAGTGACGGCAGAAATCACTAAAATCATATAGAATTGATGAAAACCACTGTCCACGTCAATTTGAAAAATTCTTCCCACATCTCTTCGTTGCCCTTGGGACACAACAAAGGGCGGTAATAATGTATTCTATAGAATAATTTTTGCCAAAAAAGACCGATTTCTAACCGGAAACTAAATATATTGTTAATATCTATGATATTTGAGGATTGCCCTCTATTTCTCTGGATACCGTCATCAGATCCGGTTTTCCTTACCATGGGATATCTCCTTTCCAACAAAAAATAAATCATCAAAATCGGTTCATAAACGACGAAGTTATCCACGAACACACATAAAAAAATATATACGGTCGAATTGAGAAACCTCCTTCTTTTTGAAGTCGGTTAAAATCTAGGAAACACACACATACATTATACCAAATCAAAAAACGTCTAAAATTGTAGTTTATCAAAATTGTTTTCCTTCTAGTCTTAGTTCCTACCTAAAGTGATTTCATTTAAAAAAATTGAAATGAAAATAATTTAGGTTGTCTCAAAAGTCAAAGTCAATAGAAAAACTATCTAATCAGGAGTTTTATGGATTTGATTAAGATTAGAAAACAGCCTGGTTCTGTCTTCAAACAAACTGTCCTTAAGACATCAGGTCGTGCTATAAAGCTTGCAGGCTACGCGCTCTCCACTAGCGCGTTTTGGACCATCTTCGCCGCTTATAGCGGGGGCATTCCGCTATGGGCTCTTTTCAGCCACACGGAACAAAGAGGTAGGTAAACATCCCTAACCACACCTACCTGCGTAGCGTGAATGGTGCTGTGATGCTCCAGCCTCTGTCTCCACTTTTCGATTAGCATTTGAGGGGATTTGATTTGCCTGCACCTGTGGTCACCAATACTGAGTCCCTATTTATTTTATTATTGACGATTGTGTCTGTCGGGTGGTTTCGGAAATCCTACTGGCCGTATTAGAATTTTTATGACTTTATTGCCTTTTAATTTTTATGTGCTAGTCTTTGAACATCGAATCAATCGCACATAGAACAGTCCGGAGCGAATCAATTAGCAGTGCAAAGATATTTGATAGACTATTGATATACTTATATACAAATACGATGTAGAATGACACTTGCGTACCGAAATTGAAGCAACTCAAATTACGCCAACTGGTGTAATTAGATTACAATTGTTTCTTTTTTTTTTACATTGCCCTTGCTATAGAATAATGGCCATGCGTCATTTTATTAAAACATCGTTGAATTTTATCTTTAAAAGTTTTCGTTTGCTATTTAAGAAGGTTTTTAAAACTTCTTTTCATTTCAAATCTATGACATTGTCAACGCACTATCATTTGCATTCAGTTTGTTGTGGCCTCTATTGTAAACAAGAATCGCGGGCAGAGACTAGTCGCTGAGCAAATATCTCGAGGCAATGCGTAAGGAAAGTAGGGTGCTGTTCATTACATTCTTATTTTCAAACCCTTCGTAAATTTTTAAACTGCTACGCAAACACCACAGATTAGTGTCATTTGACTTAAATGATTTTCTATTTTTTA